AACATGTGCCTTCAAATCGCGTGAATAAGAATCGCAACACGCAAATATGAAAAGCTATGTTTGATATTAAAATCGTGTGAATAAGAATCGAGATATTAGCAGATTCCAGGCTTAGGACCTCTAAAAGGCTTGTCAGAAGCAGCGTCGTTTGAACTATGAAAATCGGATCTATCTGGAGGGCGGGTAAAAAATTCGGAAAATCATCTGCTGGGTGTAAAAGGGGAGAAAATAGGTAAAATAAGTAAAAATGAGAAAGGATTAGTAGCTATGTAGTTTGAATTTTCTGCTTCTCTTTAAAAATCGGTGAATTTTCTGAAAAAGCGGAATGCTTATAAAAAAAATGAAATTTTTAGAAAATCTGAATTTTTGATAAAAAAGCTGAAATTTAAGAGATAAAAGTGAAAAAAGCGGAAATCCGCTAAAAAGCGGAAAAATCTCATCCCTGAATACTCTCAACATACCCAACACATGAACAAAGCTCACTTGCTTTACAATACACCAACTTATCAATAAATGGCACAAAGGAGAAAAAACTTCAGAGATAAAAGAAAAAAATTCAGATATAAAAAAAAATTCACTTTTGATTTAAAGCTAAGTGTTCCAGCAAAGCTATAATTTTAGATTATTATTTTTTATAATTAAGAACAAAAACTTAATTGTTAAGAAACTTTATTTTAATTTTCCTCCTGGAACAGAAAAAAAATAAAAATCAATGCAAAAAAAGGCATTTCTTTCACTTTTAGCTGAAATCTAGAAATATCTCTTTCACTTTTAGCTGAGAATTAAAATTTTAAAATTTTTGAAAAAGAAAAAAAAGGGGGGGGGGACTTCTTACATAAGCAAGGTAAAAAAAAAAATTCATTACTTTCAACAAAAAAAGAAATCATAACTTTACCTTCACTTTGGTTTCTTCTGGAAGCATATCAAAATCAATCCACATTGAGTCATCAGATCTTGTTATTTCCTAACGAAGAAAAATAAATTTAAAACATTTAACAACTCTCTTCTACAGTTTTTATTCAATAAAAAATAGTTTACATGAATACCTAAAAGATAAAATAATGCAGAATCGCTTTAAAATGAGCATGTAGTTATTAAGAGGTATCATATCCCTTAGAGAGCTTTTTCTAAAAAATCAGAATAAATGTAGCGTTTAATGGCACAAAAGTCAGAAGCAGCACCAAATACAAAATCAGAAGTAAAAAATCAAACATTGTGCTAAAATAACACTGATGCAAAAAATAAACGAATAAATAAAAGTAAAAAAGAATTCATATTTAGTAGGAAAATATAACTACCAACATTGCCTGATTGTAAACTTCATTCATTTCATGTAAAATTCATCCAAGTCAGAAATAAATAAATAAGGAATAACAGTAGACATGTTTCAAGTGCATCAAAAATAGGCACCAATTTTCAGTTCAAGGCTTGACAAAAACAAAAGAGATAAAAATGAAATGTAAAGAAAGAAAAACATACTTGCCAACAAAAAAAAACCACAGAAGCCGGGAGAGAGAAAAATAAAAAAGAGAACAAGAAAAATCGCAGAGGTCAAGAGGCAAATCAGGGGGAAATGCATTTCCATGAGCCATGGTGGTTACTAATGTCAATAACAAGGGTATCAGCCTTCAAATGAATAAAACAAGATTCCAGGGCATCAAGATGAGCTGATGCAATTGGGGTGGAAATAATTTTAGCATTATCAAAATTGAATTTTAAGCCAAGATTTCAACAATGAAGCAATTGAAGATTTCTCAAATTCACGATAACGGACATATCTATCTTGTCATCTAATCTTATTTAATAACTACCAGAAGTTTACACACTCAGTTTGTTAAATTAAATGTTTGTAATATTATTAAATCAACCAACACTTACAAAGTCTACCATTAGCAGATCTTTCACAACCACTTTAGAAACAATACTTTTGATCTGCATTCCAAACAAATCAGGGCACACCATAGCAATATGGCCCAAGGAAACAAGCGCTGTTCGGAAGTACTCAGAATGGAGAGTGAGGCTCAGTTTCAAACGCTGAAAAGAAAAGTTGAATTATTAGCCCGATTTTTAACGAAACTCGTGATTAAAAACAAAAATCAAGAAAACTGACATCAATAATTTGTCCAAAGACACGTTCCTTGTTGGAGACCATAACATTTAGACATCCAACAGCATGTTTGGCTTGTTTTACAGTCCCATTTTCAATAAAACGTTCCAGCATTGGTTGCAAGCGCCTACAACAAAAACACAAATTACATTAAATAATGAAAAAAAAATTATATCTAAGTGCATAACTAAAAAATTTAGAACTAAGAGTTCTAAGAAATTTGAACAATGGTGACAAATAACAATTTTAGCCTACAATCTTGAAAATTTTTAAAAAATTTTAGTTTTTCTCTACAGGAAGGCCTTAAAAAAATTATTTTATAACAGAATTAGCGTTACTAGGCCATTAAAAAATAAACAATTCCCTCTTTTTATCAATAATTTCATATATAAAGCTACAAGTTATAGAAATTATAGGTTGTAACTTTCCAGTCAAAATTTAAAATTTGTAAATATAGTTAGCAGAAGAATCTGACAAAATTCAATAAATTAAAAAAAAACTCAACAATTATTCTTTTGGTCACTCACATTTAATTAAACAAATACTTACGAGCAGATATTAGGATATTGTCCTTCTAAAACATAACCAATATTTGTAAAAATAAGAATAGTGATATCAACAGCCACTTCATCTTCAACTCGCAATATATGTAAGAGTTCTTCAAAAACAAAATTATTGCAGAAAGCTCCAGGAAATATTGCAGATAAAATCTGTAAATAAAAGAAAATTAGCTTGACTTATACAAGTATAAGAAAAATAATGAAATGAAAGCACAAAATTAATTTTCTATTAACTATGAGAACATAAATGTTGCATTAAGATTATAAATATTGATGTCACACTCTTAATGGCAATTTTTACATAAATCTTTTAAATGTTTACATATTTAAATATTTACAAATTTCAAAAAAAAAAAAATTTTAATCAGAAAAGAAAATAAGAAAAAGATATAATCTCATCATCAGCTCAGAGAAAAAATAGTGCTTTCTAATAATGCATTAATACAGCCAAAGCAAAACATATTAATACAATAGTATGAGAAGCACCAAAAAAATTTAAAACAAAAATAGAACTTATTAAGCAAAAAATGTAATAGAAAAAAAAATGCAAAAGACAACAATCAAACAAAAATAGAAAATGAAAATTCTCGAAAAATTTAATGAATGTATAAAGCAAGTATCACATTTACAGGCATTTTTCAAAAATGTTTTCTTAACAAGTTTGCCAGATCACAAAATATGGCAGTAGAAAAATGCCTGTCAGATTATTGAGTTCTTACTGTATACAGATCAAGTAAACAGTAGCATACATAGACTTAGGTTCACCCTATCTTAGACTTATCATAAAAAATATAAAATTATAATATGAAATAAAAACACTGTAGTAAAGAGATATTCGGATATATATAATCATTAATTTTATTTTAATTTAAGAAAATGATAATAGCATTTACAGTGAAAATGTAGAATTAAGATATTAAACTGAAACATTCTTAAACGCTTACCATACCTAATAGATTTTTTTTCTTAATATTAGAAAAAAATAGCACACTCATATTCAAAGTTTTGTTATGCATTATTATTATATATAAAGTGAACTAAAAACTATTTTATGAATAAAAATAATTTTATTTTAACTTATTTTTGTTATTATTCTGGTGAGTGCGCCCTCAAAGCGGAGGTGTTATTTACGCTACAGCTAATAAACATACTTGGAGAAGTTGCAATCCTCTTTCTGATGAATTGAACAATCCCAATTGTATATCAATGTCCCCTGAACCAGTCAGAGAGTCTTTAATATAAAGAAGAAGTTGCTTTATTCCCGCAAGATCTATCATCACTGGAGCCACACGCTCTAACATCTGTTTCACAATCATGTAGAAACTGTTGGTCTGAACAGGTAACCCAAGTGCTTTCAAAACTTCTTTCTGAAATCAAAAAGAAAGGTTTATGAGTCAAATAATTTAACACCATTCACAAAAATGGGGAGAAACTTCATTACTTACTACACTATGTTCAATTTCTGAACAAGTAGCTGAACCTTTTAAAATTGTATCCATGTGACTTTTGAGCCTGTTATTATTTTGAAGCATTCCAAAAAATTTCTTCAAAAATTCTTGGCACTTAATTGGTTCTGGAAGAGTTTCTAAAAAAGAAAATTTAATTCAATATAGTAGTATAAAAAAGAAATTTAAGCAAATTAAAAGCAAATAATTATAATTTCATCACATATAGCACTTACTTGATAGAATAACAATTTTGTTAGTAAGATTTTTCTCATAACCCTCTAACTTGGGAGTTTGAAACAATACTTCTAAGACATCTTTCACATAGTTTCTAACACTAAAAAAAAAAAAATGATTATAATAAAAATTTATGAAAAATATTATTTTACAAAAAATTTTATGAACATACTGATTTCAAACATTACAAGATAAATCACATTTATAACCTTAAATAAATTTATGTAAAATTTAAGTGATTAGTCATGGTAATTCAAATTACTAAAACCAAAACTCCAGCACTTAGTTATAAAATTTTATCAAGATTTATACATCATTGTAACATTACAGGAGTGTACATAAATTATAGTTTAGAATTTAGCATTAAAACTGACAAATTTACAAAATGTTCAAAAGAGTAATATCAAAAGGAAAAAAATTTTAGAAAATATATTTTGCATAAAATGTATTTTTATTTTTAAAATTATATTTTATTATAGCACCTATCTAGGTCTAAAAACCATAATATAGCCCATATAGCTATTATATAGCCTATATAGACATTATAAGCTGTTTACAAGTGCTATTTTCTCTTTTAAAATGACTTAGGACACAAATGGCAGCATCCATGTATATTCCCTGTTTCAATTAAATTTAAATATTTCATGAAATTGGAATATTATCAAATATATCATCAAAACTAAAGTAGTTATCATTGACATTTGAAAATGAAACAATAGGTAGAAAATAACTAACCATATCCTTAGAAAGAGAAAAAAGCAATACGAGAAAACACTTTCTCTATTTTACATTATTTGGTGTTATTTTATATAGTGTGGGGTTTATATGTTTTACATAATATGCAGTGAATAATCCTATAATTTTGTACAAATACTAATTTTATTTGACTTACATAAATGAATACGAAAATTACGATAAATTAACCAATAAATTGCAGTTAGTCAGTCAATTGTGCTTTGTCATTTCCTTCACCATTTTACTTCTTTTATCGATTTTTACTCATTTTATAATTTTAAAAAAATAGCTAAAAAATTTTAAATACTGTAATATAATTAATAACTTATAAATAAAAGTGGAACATTTTTTTTAAATAAAAAATATTAGAAATCTTAAATATTATATCAAATTAACAAACAATTAAATGTGTGATATAAAAAAATGTCCAATAGCAATTTATAGATAATGAAATTAATAAGAGATAATGAAGATCTTTCCACTGGCATCCAAGAGAGTTTACTTTACAATACTTTATATTTAATATAAGTGACAAAATTAAGAAATAAATAAAATTATACTTACGTATTTTGACACTTCAATAGTTCATTGAAAGCCCTGGGGAAAAAATGCAAAAGTGGTTTAAAAAAATATGTATAAAATAAAAATAAAAATTTAAAAGTAGTTTTAGAAAAATTTATAAAATAGTAAACAAAAATGATGCAAATTTTAACAACCTTAATGCTAATTTAAATGTACAACAACTCTTTCTTTTAAATCATGAATGTCAAAAAATAAATTTGAACAGTTTGTTAAAAACATTTTACATCTTTTTCGGGGCACAAAAAGTAACTTATTACTTTAATTATCGAGTCAATATTTAATTAATTCAAAATCTTACTTAATAGCATATTCATCTACAGAACAAAATAACTGATAAAGTTTCTTCATCCTTTCTTCTAAAGGACTTTGATAAGGTACAAGACAGGTATGCAATATCCGTTCAACCAGTAACCTATAACAAGATGAAAATTTAACAGACATTACAACGAAATGAAGAGCATAGCAACAAAAATCACTAAAAATGAAATTTTAAAATATTATGGAAAAAGAAACTCACGGTGAAATAACAAAAAGTTATAAATTTTTGCTTATGAATTTTCTTATCCTAAGTAAAACAACAACATAAACCACTAAGAAAATAGTTTAATCATTTACAGAGAAATAAAATCACATGTTTCACAAAGGACATCCCATATCAAAGTTGTCACAATGTGATAAAAAAACAAAATAATTAATTCTTGAAGTTGTGTTGATTTAAGTGCTATATGTAGTATGATTATATAAGAATTAGATAATAAAAATCACTAACACCTAATGAAACAAACATAAATTTGGTAAATAAAAAAAAATAAATTTAAAATAGAAATCTAAAAATGTTATGAGCAAAATTAATTTAAATAAGTGAATACAAACATACATAAAATTTAAGCAAGGAAAAAGAGTATATATGAAGCATATACCTATAGAATATTATAAACATTTTAATAAAATATATCAACAAACTATTTATTTATTTTTTTTAACATTTCGTGAACATGAACTTCACTATGAGATATTTTAATCATGTGAATACGAATCTCGATGTGATTTTTAATTTCATGAATATAGATCTTGACGCGTGATTTTTAAATTGCATGAATATGAATATCAATATGAGATTTTTAAATCAAGGGAATAAAAATTATAATGGGTAATTTTAAAATGTCGAATTAAGAACCGTGGTAGTATTTTAAATTTAGTCTGTAATTTTAACCGTATTTGTATAGGTAAGAAAAAACGTAAATAATCAAAGTAATGAAACTTTTTTTGAAAAGGAAGAATTATTCTTTTTATTAAATAGAAAAGGGCAAAATTTTGCATTAAAAAAAAATTCTTCTCAGTAATAGTTTTGTAAGAAAAATCTCATAATCATAAATATCTTGAACCTATTTTTAGAAGTAGAGAAAGTAATATGAAACTTGAAATCTTTCATAATTTTTTTCATAAATTAGAAAATTTAAAAGTTACTGAAATAAAATAATCTTGGTTAGTAATAGAACACAGAAGCTGTTTTAGTGCCTCTAAGTTGCAAGTCATAAAATGAGTTCACGGCTTACAAATTCATAATAAATAAAATCAAAATAAATTAAAGTATATAATAAAGCTCTTAGAATAATACAGTAAACCAAATACACGTCTTGAATATAACATCACTTGTATTTAAATCATAGCAACAAATAACACAAATCCTTTAATGAAAAAAAATAATAATAAAAATTATGGATATATTGTACATTGGTATACCTCAGAACCACAAGATTTAAACAAAATATAAATTGTAAAATATCTAAAATGTCTATTATCAATTGCTGTTTGTCTTTTTATTTCTTATAAATAAAATATTTGAAAAACTCTTCCACAGCAAAATAAAAATTTAGCTGATTAGGTTTATGGTCTTATATCCAGAAAAGAGAAACAAAAGGAGAAAAAAAATTTTTTAAAAAAAACAGTGTTTTTCAGGAGGGGGAGGGAAAACCCCCATTAAAGAAGGTTTCATTGAAATTTGGTGATATTATTAAATAAATATTTAGAAACACTTAGATTGGGTTTTTTTTAATCTTCTAATCAGTTACTCTACTTTATTGAAACATATATATATATATATATATATATATATATATTCTTTTTATGTTATAAATCTAACATTACAATTTGAAACATAAATTATCTGTACAAGCCACAAGGAAATAAAGATTTCAAATGTAAAATCTGTTTTATATAAAATTCCAGCCATAAACACATAATATTCAGACCATAAATTATAATATAAAAACAGATACTTCATAGAGATTGAAACAAATTTAAAACAAATACACAGATCCAATGCATCATATATCAATCAGGATACCAGTTCTACCATTTTTTGGCCTTAAATGTTAATGAATTTTACCTAATTACAAAAATAAACAAAAATAAATTTTCTAAAAATTTTTTAATACTGACCTGTCTTCCAATGCTGTTTGGTAATAAACATGCAAAACTTTATTCTTAATCCAAGAGATACATTCCTTAGTGGATTCTGGAATTTCAGGATTACTCATATGTTGTTTGTAAAGCATAGCAAGTCCCAACAGAGCTTCTTTTCGAATTTTGAACTATATTAAAATAATGAAAAAAGTTAATAATACTAACAAATTAAAATCAAGCAAATTTCAACTGTAATAATTTAGAGAAAAAATCCGATTTTCCTCAGAATTGAATTTGTTAAGGGAGAGAAGAAAAAAAAAACTTAGAATTTGAAGAAGAAAAAAAAGAAGAAAAGAAAACGAGGATTATGGATTACCATAACATAACTCCAAATCTAATAATAAAAATCATTTCATTAAAAAATATATATATTTATGTAGTGTAAAGGAAAAATATCTAATGGGAGATTACAACAAACTAATAAAATGCGATATTTTTAATTATTTTTGTTTAATGTAATGATAATTTACAAAATTAGAAAAAGGGAATAACTAGTGAATTTTTCCGCCTACAAAATGTAAGAATATTGTCCATAATGTGATAATTAAAAAAAATTAACAATTAAAAAAATTATATGCAGTTTTATTTACTACGAATAAGTTTTTTCTTTTGTAAGCGCAATGCTTCTTTTACTTTAAATTAGTAATTGTTATTACTAAAAATGTCTGGCAAAAAATTGCAAAAGTTTGCCATAGAAGGTCGGAAGAAATTCTGCCACAGGGGTGGGAACCATGAAAGACAAACTGAAATAGCTTTAGTATCATTGTGTGAATATAAGTTGTGAACTCATAACTACCCTATTTTACAGTGTATTAATGAATGCTTTTTCAGCCTCTAAAGTAAAACTGAATAAGTATACACTTATATAAGGAAATAACCTAAACAAATAAGCTTTTAATGTTTAAGTACACATATTAGAACTCGGAATCAAAAAAATATGACATAGTGAGATTTGTTCACATAGTCCCAAAACACATTTCAATTCTTTAAATTGCACTACTTTCAACTTTTTATCCCCCCCCCCTTACTGCATAGCGCAGGAGTGGGGTAAGTTGTCCCATACCTAAATAATCAACCTTCTTTCAGAGGAATCTCATTCTTATAAAATTTATTACGGGAATTTTGTGTGTGCACCTATAAAATGCTTGATTTTGAAAATATTTAATTAGAGGAATGAAGAGCTGAAGTGGCTCAAGAGATAGAGCACTCCTCTCCTAACGAGATGATCCGAGTTCGAATTCCATCTATGGCTGGTCAATACGAATTCTACTTCATGACAACACACACAACAAGTGATGAAGTAAAATATCCTCACAACTAGTGGGATCATAGGTTAGAATCACCTTGAACTCGGGTGAACCATGGGAGGTAAGTTCAATCAAAAAGTCCTACACGAAGACTAGTTTGTCCCAATGCTTGATCAAGGAGTTCCCTTATCTTCTGGATTGGGTTCAAAATTACAAAGCTATGTGGATAAACAATGATAGTCGCAAACTCAGAATTCAATCCGCTATTCAAAGCTGGGTTATAATATTAGACTAAGGAAGATTATGTCTTGCAGTTGAATTCGCAATCATGGAGCTGCTGAATCTGTGCATGTTAATAAGTAATGTAAGAAGTAAAGAGTAATAAGTAAATAAGAAACGAAATGCATGCAAATAAAAATAATTTTTATTTAGGGACAGTATTTAATACCCATAAGTTTTTCAAAGAAAATTATTACCTTTTTATCTAAAGTCCTTTCCTTGACAAAATTTAAAAGATCATCTGTTACAGAGTTAAAATCTTTTTTGGCAGCACTAATAATTGCCATGACAACTTCATATCTGACAGTTTCATCAGGATCATGCTGGCGAAGTCTCATTTGTTCTACAATAAACAAAAAAGTCAGAATTTATTGTGAAAGTAAAAATAATCTATATGAAATCTTCATAGTACTATTTCCCATAAATGCTTAATTATATTCAATTACAGTGTTGCTTAAACAAATATTTCTCAAAAAAATATGCATAAGTCACTCAAATACAATTTTAAAGATTAAGTCATTAATTGCAACATTTACTGTTATATAGCTAAGCATTTTATTTTTAAAAATTTTGTTTAATTCAGGAAAATATGACATGGATACTTTTCTACCTTCAATTTATGTAAAATTATTTCAAAATATTAAGAGCCACTTTTTATAAAATACAATCAAAACAAATTTTAGTGTGATTTTGACTTCACTCATGCATTCATAATTCTAAACATTAATACATTCATAATACAAAACATTCTTTAAGAATTTCTAATTTTAACACATACTTACATTAAATATTTTTGATATATATAAATTTAGGTATTCACTTTTCTACAATTTTATATACAAAAGTATTTATGAATCAACTGGTTGACAATAGAGTATTTAATTTTCATATAAAACTTGAAAATTTTCCCAATAAAAATATAAAAAAGAGTGATAAGTTGAATTATTTATTAAGTAATTAGCTAAAATTAAAAAAATATATAATTTAGTGAATGAAATTTTTACATCAGGATAAGAGTTTTTTGGAGGAAGGGATGAGAATTTCCAAATTTTAGATTTTAATAATCTTTATACAGTACAGAAATAGTTATACAGAATTCAGAAAACCGGAAAACCAAAAAACGGGAATGAAATTCGATAAATTTTCCCGCCATTTAAAAAAAAAAAAAAAAAATTTTCCTCATAAGATCTTAAGATTTTTCTTTCTTTTTTGAAAGATGTTTACCTTACCATCATTTTGGAAATAATCATTAGTGTATTTGTTACTTCAAGGCTTTTTCTTCTTTTTAAGATTATTTCCAAATATTTTTTTTTTTTTTCAGTTGGGTTTAACAATAAAGAAACAGCTTTTTGTAGCAATTCAGAAAACCGGAAAAATCAGTTATCCGGAATAGCGATAGATCGTTCTGGATAATCGGTTCCCTACTGTATTTGATTTTTAATTTTATATTTAGTCAATCAGTAAAGACAATAAGCATAAAAGAACTACTGGTAATTAATTGTTGATATATCTGGTTTCCATTGAGATTTCCCACAACTATCAAGTAGTTTTACGACAAACAATAAAAAAATAATATACAACAGTAAATGTATAGTTTACTCACTACATTTAGTATACTCACTCAAATGTATAATAGACTCAATTAATAATATATACTATAAAGTAATATATAATGTATAATATAATACTTTATAGTATACTATACTTTTACTTTGCAAATCAAAATTATATTTAAAATTCAAAAATTTAAGGTAAATTTAACTCTACATTAATATTCTTTAATACTTTGATGCATTATAATTAAATAGAGAATGTGGAAAATCTATTAATCATATGAAATAAATGTAATAGACATCTAAATATACCTGTGATGTCGGGACGCAATTCAGGATGATTCAGGAGAAAATGCATAGCATATTGTACACAACGTATCCTGACATGACTGCTAATATCATTAAATCTATAAATAAAATTTAAATAAAAAATTATTTCACTTTTACAATATATATACTTTCAAAACATACAGAAATGAAACAGAAACTAACCTGCCGAGAAAGCATGTCCACAATGTCTTGTTCTGAGTTGCTAAATCAGAATTTCTGTCGGAGAACATTCTAGCTAACAATTTGGTCACATCCAAGCGTTCTTTTTCAAGACTGCTCTGTTATTACAAAAAAAATAAATAAGTAAAATTAGTCAAAAGCTGTCAAAAAAATTTTATTAGGGGTGATGTTTTTTACACTTAATCAAACAAAGTTTCCTCTGTTTAAGAAGAATTATTATATTTTTTACCTATATGCATACAAAAAATTACTTTAAATTAACACATTTATTGAAAATTAGCAACAAAAAGAAAATACACAATCTTAAAAAAATATTTTTAATAAGTTATAAAGCTTTTATCTACTAATCAAGCCATGTTTTGTTTTCTAATCTTTTATTTTTTTCTTAAACAAATATGCATTCAGTAATGAAATTCAAATGAGTTTTCTGAACTTTTGTTCTTTGGACTTTGTCACTGTATAGTTACCTCTAGGTAGGCACAATCATTAAACATTAATTTTACATTTAAAAAAAAAATTTAATTAACTTCCGATTTTTTTTATTCTATTAAATTTTTATATATTATATAATACATTATATTTATATTGAGTTTTGAATACTAGCTTTGTAACAGTTTGGGATAATGCAGGTCATAAACTATGTTAATAATTAAAAACAAACAAGTACATATAAAAGAAAGATAAATAAAAAATGTACCTTAAGTTTGAATTCCAGCTGAGGCAAAACACCAGTAAGCATAGTTGGACAAATCGCATTTAGCTCATAAATCAAATCATATAGTTTGTTTATTAAAATACTTTCCACTTTTCCCAAAATTAAGGCATTGTTGAAGAACTAAAAAAAATTAAAGCTAATTAACTTCCACTTTACAGAAAGTAAAACAAATGATAAATATAAATAAAAAACATAGTTACAGCATGGATATATGGTTCAATAGTCGCTTGTGTTCGCTTTAAAATATCTCTTGCTAAGTTGTAGGAATTTTTGTTCTGCGTCTGAAAATAAATTTAATTTAGACAAAACAGTGCAATTTTATTAAAATTAAAAAACAGAAAACATACAAAAAAATTATCTTGAAAGATATAAAGAAATTATCTTGAAAGTCACAAATACATGATCTTGAAAGATACAAAGAAATGATCTTGAAAGATACAAAGAAATGATCCTGAAAGATACAAAGAAATGATCAAAGAGTCTAAGAGATGCTTGCACATATCTCAGAGATGAAAATGGCACACATATTGGAAATGATAATTGGTTGTTTTAAATAAACAATAAATGATTTTTATAAAATGTTTAAACTTAGTCCTGTTATGCATTTAGAACTGAAAACACTGAAATAACAAAAAAAAATCAAGGCCAAGGAGAGTAAGGGCTCCACAGTTTCAAGACCAATGAAATGATGATGACCATGCGTTAAATGAGTTAATTTCCACAATGAGTTACACTTCCATATTCTTATCTTTCCCATTTCCCCTTCCATATTGCTATATTTTATACTGGAAAAATATAACCTTATTCTCTGCAAAAATTACTGTATCCATTAAAATACTGAAACAATCATAAGCCTGAGTCATTCACAGAGCAGGAGATATGTTTGAGCACTAACAACTGGTACAATCTCATGTTATAGTATCCATTTTTGTTTGGACAAATAAGGTATCCAGCTTCCTCTGTATAACTAAATTTAAAAACAATATGAAAATGCGCATACTGCTAAATGAACGCAAAATGCTCTTTGTTTTAATACCACATGCCTCAAAAGCGAGTTTAAAAACTTGTATTAATTGCTGTATTTAATAATTTATTATTGCTTTAATTTGCATTTCATTTAATTACAATAAACATGATGTGTAAAGAAAATTCAGTAGAAATTTAGAAGCCCACTTATAACATGAAGAGGTGAAATTATATAATAGATTAAGGAAATGATAAATTAGTTAATATAATTAAGTTACATCAAACTTCTTTCCTATCAGAATGCTTTCTGTGTCTATCAAGTTGAGTAAGCCATAAAGTGGCAAATTGTGCACTGAAATGCAGGTAGAAAAAAATGCTTAGTATAGCCAAATGAATTACTGATTATTTTTTTATATGGTATAAACAAATTAAAAATTACCTTTCTTGGTTCCACTATCTGACTCAAAATCGCATCCAACATTGGCTGAGAAACTATATCAGCTTCAAGAATAAGAGGACACATCATATCAAGCATGAAGTTCTTGACTTTAGTAGAATGATTATCACTAAAACATTAAGTATAAAACTTCAATAAAAAATATTATAAAATTATTACTTTTTTTAAACTTTTAATTTGTCTTCCAACTGATTGCTTAATATAAGAAAGAACAATGCATAGAATAAGCCCTTAGATTAAAATAATAATAAATTTTAAATTAATTACTTTGATTGCAACTTTATGAGAAAAACTTCAAAAACACCCTTAAAAGTCTTTTTCAAAAGCTCGAAAATGACTGAATTCCTAAAAAGGTTTAAACAGTGAATTCTGTTGGTAAAGCTATGTACACCGGAAGAGAGTATAGAATCTACAGAGAGTCCTCAATTTGGAATTATTGACTCATGTATTTTGTACTAGCATTACTAATTAAAAAAATAAATAAATAAAGATGTTGGATAAAAAAAAAATCAAAATTATTTTGGTTCTCTGAATCTATGTTTTAAAAATGCACTATTTGTTTTCTTATTTTGAAATTTTAATGTTCTGAACATCTACAAAAATCAGCATTATCAGAAAATAAAGCTAAAACGCCAAGAAAAATAAAGACAAAATATTCTCTTATCAGGAATATTTACGAACATGCATAGAAATATTTTGTGATCATTGTTACAAATAAAGGAAAGGCGGATGCTATGCGAAATTTCTCTAATGCATCCTTTTTCAACTCTAAACACAACCAAAAAAATTATTGAAAAAGACATTATAAAATTAAAAATGAAACCAGGTAAAATAGAAAACTATGAAGAAACAATAAAAAGTCAGTTCATAAATTTGCTTAAATACTCACTTTACAATGGAAAAGATGAGTTGAAACAATTTTGTAAATATTTCTTGATTTTCTTCTAACTCTATACAGATATTGAATGTTTTGACCCATGCTAAATTCTGTTAAAATTAAAAAATCATTTATGTCGAACATAAATTCTTGAAACGATTCTTTAAAATTGATCTGTTAAGTAACAGATCAACTGCAAGCAAAATGAGAGAAGAGTATTTCCTTACCTCAAGAAGATAAAAATATCGTTTAAATATAGTATCCTTGGGGTCTTCTAAGCCTTGAAGTTGCTCAATAAAAAAATAAAAAATTGCCTGAAAAAAATTTTAATTGATTAGTAAATAAAATATGCACAGGTTATAAGCATCTTTAAAATTAGGTTCAGATAGTATTACACAGGTTTAAACAACAGAATGTTAAAAAAAAAAATATATTTAAAAGAAAAAAAAATCTTTTTTTTTTCTTAATTGCATTAAAATATGGATATCAGGCACTGAATGTTTTTAAGATTATTAAAACTTTTTTAATTATTTGAGGAAGAGCATATTTTAAACATACTTTATTTAAGTTCAAGTTAAGATGAATGTAGCTTTAACTCCAATTGTAACATAATTTAACTGTAATTAAGCTCAAATTTGTAAAGTTATGTAACTACAATTGCTTCATTTATGGTTAAAAGAGGAAACTGGTGCAATGTTTTCATGCCCATAAAACATTGATTTGATTAAAATAGGAACTTTTATTGGATAAATCTATGGCCACCTGTATTTCAAAGAAAATTTAATTGTAATTACCACAAGAAATTTAATAGTTGTTTTTTAAACTTATTTTATTAAACTTTAAAAACACATAAAAATTTTAAAATTAAAACTTTAGAAATATAAAAGTACCATTCTTTTGAAGTGTAATGTAAAAGTAAATCATTCAACAAAAAAAAATTTTTTTGTCTAACTAAAATAAGTTCAAGGAGTTTTTAAAAATTAAAAATGTAAATAACTTATGTCAGTAAAAAAAGTAACACTAAGTTAAAGTAATAGTAATTTGCAAAAATATGCAAGAAATTTAATATATTTTTAATTCAAAAATGCGTGTCCTTTATCCTTGAATATTCAATATAAATTAATATTGTTCTCATTAAACAAAGGATAAAGTAAGAGATATATACACAATAAAACTGAATGTTATATATAAACTGAATTTCTTGAGCCCCCTAGCTAAATGCTAGAGTATATAATATTAAATTATCTGTTTTTCTGACTAAATTACAAAATTATAAATGCTATGCAAGGTACCAATAAATTAAACAAATATATGAATGATCACATACTTTTAACTGTTCGGGATCTTTGTATGGAGCATCTGGTGCAAACACTCTAAATACATCAGCTATACAACAAGCAACAAGCAGTTTAACGTCTTTACTAGGATGTTCTAAAAATAATTCTCCAGCTAAATGTAGTGCAAGTGGAATGTATGCTGAATTATCATCTTCCTGGCTCATGTTTTGGAATGACTGGGCACATTCCTAAAAAAAATTTCATTCATAAATAAAATAAAAAATTACATTAACTATCTGAAATTACACTAATTGTCTGGTGTAATAAATTTTAAAACAATATCAGAACTCCCACTAAACTATAGAAGAAAAAAATTTAAAATTTCAGATTTGTCAAGATCAGAAAATTTTGAACCAGAAAATGTCTTATTAATTTCAGAAACAAACTGAAGCAAGAAATAATTTTTTTATATGTATATACATTCTGATTTGACTAAACATAAAATCATTTTCAGAACAATAAATAATCATAATGACAATAAAATAATTTGCTTAACATCTTTCTGATTAGCTAAAAAAATTTCCAGTTTTTGCCCCCCCCCCAAAAAAAAGTTATTAAAGTTTAATTCATTTCTGACCTGCAGAAGCCCTGCGTAAAACATTAAAAGTCATTATGTTTCAATTTTTTTTTCTCCTGAATTTTTAGTGACATTACTCTATTTTCAGTTCAGTCACATACTTTTTGGATCATTAGAAAATTCCCTCTCCTATAAAAAAAGTCAGAATTTTTAAAATTTTCCATTCAAATCTAATTCTCGTTGAAATGCCGAGCTTTGTGCTCAAGCTTTATTTGTCAACCAAGACTAGGCTAGAAAATTCACTTAGAAGGTTTTAACAAGCCTTAAAGTCACAATATTAGAATTTTGAAAAGGAAATGATATTGACAGACAACACAACAACAAAGATACGTCACTGTATGACTGAAAAAGAGGACAGTCGCTAATATTTGTTAAAAAAAAACTAGATTAGTGAATAGTTCAAATCAATTTCATTACTAAATATTATTTTTTTTTTAAAAATTAAAATTTCTAAAATGCTTCAGGGCAATTGGAAAAAGAATTTGAACTGGTGTAACTACTTTAGATTTTTTAAGAATGAACACTTTTAGTGAAAATTAGTAATTTGCTTACTTTTTTTCACCAATTCTGCAAGTCTGCATAAAAAAACATGAATTTTTTTTTTTTTAAAGTGGCACCTCAGGTATGATTTTATGTTTTTCAATATAGTTAAGCGATTTTAATAGGTGAATTTTTGTTCCTGATACAAGAAAAAAATTTAAATTACATTTCAATTTGCTTATTACAATTAGAAAAAAAATCTGATTTTAAAAAATTAAGAATAAAAATTTATGACTTAAGGAAGCAAAAACTGAAAAACAGGACCATAAGTGATTAAATGGGAGAAAATGGACTTAGCAGGTAAAAAGTTCTACTAAGGAGAGAGTGCAGAATATGCTTGATTGCACAAACTAGATTTAGGAGAAATTCAGACATCCCTGGGCTATGGAACTTTTTGGTCAAAATAAAATTAAAAGACTACTTGAATTCCTGAATATTGTTAAATTATGTAGTTAAATTAAAAAATGTTGGATTTGGACAAATAAAGCATAAGAAAAAAGGAAAAGTAAATCACTTAAATACTAAAATATACATTTTTAAAGGATTTATTTAAACAAATTTTTTAACGCATTACTCCATCTCAACTTACTATCAAAAAGAAAAAGAATATTTTCTGTTGTTAGATATAACACAAATAACTTTATATGTCAATTTAATTATTTGTTTCTTTAAATTTATGAATGGATCCTTAAATTTAGTTTTACAAATTATTATTATTTCAATATGTTATAATTTTATATTATGACATTTTTCCGTTTGCCAAGCTCAAGGGAAAAGTCACAAAAAATTATAGACCAAAAACCACTTCTTTTATTTTTAAAAAACAGTTAAATTCCTTTGCATTAAGCTAACTAAAATTTTTTTTCTTTTTTTACTTAAGTAAACTGATTTTTGTTATTGATATACATCAATTTAATTTTCTTCAAATTATTTAAGTATCACTTAAGACATCTATTTACTAAGGCCTTCAATCAATGAACAAATCATTCTGCAAGTAATAAATCTGCCCTTTATATTATGTAACATAAAATTTAACCTTTATTAGTTTCCAAACTAATAATATTATTACTTATTATGACTTTTGCTACATAAAAAAAAATTGTCTTCATAATACAGAAAGTGCTAGGTAATTTACAAGATGCTAATTAAAAAAATCAAAATATAAAATAAAGTTAGCATAATTATCTCTCAAAAACTTACTTGGTTTATTTAAAAATTAATATGAAAATATTTCTATGAATAAGTTTAATAGTTCTATAAAAAAAAAAATTTAAAAATGCTAATCCCAAATGTTACAATACTCTCAAAAATCCTTAAGTAATAATGCAAATATGGTAGAACCTAAACTTATACTTGTTATTACTTATTATATTAAATAGAACTTAGACTTTTGCTAAAATAAACAGAAAACGAGTCATGAAATAATCTGAAAAAGTCCCTTCACTTGAACAATACACAATTCATTACAAATCGTAAAAAAAAAAAGTGAAATGGTTAACTTACCTTAAGCCTCCGTACCAAATCATCAGTACTGAGATCATTACCAATTTCTTTTACTCCAGGTGGATACACAATTCTTGGCTGTTTTAATGTGGCTTTCGGCATTTTTCAAGTCTTTGGACTAAAATTAAAACAACACTCAATGAAAAGTTGTTACTGAAAATACTTATACTTTATATAGAGTAATCCAGATTACAAAACTTGTTGGTGGTATTCCATGAAAAAGTTCAATAATATATGTTACTGTGTTACTATAAAATACAAAAATTTTTATAGTTGATTTACTCATCTACATTAACAGATATTATAGTATATAACGGTAGTATAATTATTTTTTTTTTGAAAACAAAACTAACCTATAAATTCATTCATATAGACAATAAGGTTAATCATAACACACCCCTGTCAAAAATCTTATATAATTACAGCATTGTACTAAAATATGCATAAATAAAATGGTATTTTTCAACTGGCAGGGGTCTGTCTAGGTTTTTCTGAAAGGTAACTATTTTGTGAAAATTTTGACATAATTTGTGAAAAATTAAAAATTATATTAAAAAGTCAACACAAAAACATGGTAAAAATATAGATTAATCGTTTACAAAAGTAAAATTTTAAGAAAAAGTATTTTGTGAAACTACCGTTTTTCCTAAAGTTGAATTTGTGAAACTACCGTTTTTCCTAAAATTGAATTTGTGAAGATACCGCTAAACGGTAGTAAATTCGGCTTGGACAGACCCCTGACTGGATTACTAATTTTTTAATAATTCTAGGATCTACACAAGTATGCTACAAATGCAAATAAAATTATGCTAATTAAAAATAAAAAAGAATAACGTTTAATAGGGAAAAGTAAAAAAAAAATTATTTGATCTAATCGCAGCAGATACGGATTATTTATTACATACCTTCAAGTAAATGTTCTCTGAACAAATTTGTCCAAAATATTTAAATTCTGAAAATAAAGAGTTGTTCTCATACGTAGAATAATGATGATTTATAATAGCAATTAATGATTTTTTTTAATTAACAAAAACTTTAAAAAATTAAGAAAATCCTTAAATAAGAGTTTTATAAAAGCTGATTCAATTTATTTATTATAAATGCTGATAAAGAATTATAAAAAATATTAAAATAATTTATAGATTTTTAAATGTTTCAATAGATTTTCATAGTTATCTTTTTTCTTTCTTTTACTCTTTTTTCAAACTTTCAGTCACTTAATAAAAATAAAGTCACTATAAATAGATTTATTCTATTTTTACCAATTATTGCATAAATAACTAATTAAATTTAAAAATAAAATTTATTGAACTACCATTTTCTTTATAACTGTAAATTTTGCTTTTAATGCTAATTAAAGCCTAATTTTTGCAGTAATAGCCTATATTTGACTGCGTGGATCAGAGATGAAAGTTTATTATAAGAAATTTATGACGAATCACTCAGAAAATTCAGCTACTAAAACTATATATTACAAACACAAACAGGAGACAAAAATATTTAAGAATATACAAGGGTGTGTCTTATTGTTTGAAATTATCTATAAAAAAGTTTTGGTACAGACCAATAGTAATGCAGTAATATTGTTTTGATTTTGAAGTAGCATTCAACTATACATAGCACTTTGAGATATAATTAAATTTACTCCAAATAAAATTTTAATTAAAAAATAATTTTTTAAAAAAAACAATAAGATATATTAGCTAGATTATAAATTGAACTAAAACTATTAATTTCCTCCTTTTGCAACAAAAAATAATTTTTAAAAAAGTTTAGGGCCATTTTGTAAATAATGTCTCATTTTTAAAGCAAGTTTGGAAAAAAATTTTATTTTGAAGAAATGTAATACATAACTAGGATGAATTGGAGTATTTATATGGAGCAAAAAAGTTTAGAAATAAATTGAAGATAAGATGTAGTAATTATAGTAATGATCAAAAAATAAGGATGAATTAAAAGTTTTTAGAAATTCAGCATAATCATATATGACTGACAAGACAAGAAAAAAATTCAAGATCTATTCTCCAGGTTACATGAGGAAAAGGAAAAAAAAAAAAAAAAAAANTGCTGAGAGGAGCAAAAAAAAAAAAAAAAAGAATTTATTAGTGCATAGTCATTTGGGTGTTGAATAAAAAAAAAAATTTCATTTTTTTTTCTTCTTTTTTTTGCTAGATTAAACAAAGCTTTTAAAGTAAAAATAAATAAAAAGTTTTATTTTTTTCCCTTCCACTACATTAACAGCAGAGGAAGTGTATCAAATTACACCAGCTCTTTCCTTGGATCAGTTGTAATGCATAATTTAGATACTTCAAAATATAGATTTATAAATGGGCATATTACTGGATGGATGAGAAAAAGGATAGCTTATCTGTTCAATATCATAGAATCATTTTTTACTTATTTTTTCTTATGGGGACTTCATTTTCTTTTTTTCTCTATGTTTTGTTTCAAATTAACATTGCAGGTTGGAATAATTTGCAGAATTCATACAGAATATTTCAATTTTAGAAAATTTTGAATATTTTTTTCATTTAATTCAGTATTTTCCAGCATGTAGTAAATTATTTAAAAAGTTATACATCATTGAAACATAATTGTTGCATTTTAAAAAGCTTAACATAATTGAAATCAAGAATAATTTTATTTTTTTATTAGAATTAGTTCTTAATAAATTACATACAATATATTTATACATATTATAAACAATAATAATATAAGATATTTAATTTATATAGTACAGTATTTATTTTTTGTAGTAATTTATGTGGACTTATAAACAACTTCCCAATAAAATAACTGACTTAAAATAAAATAACTTCACTTTGAACTTAAGACAGATATATGCCACAATCACAATTTTAACTTTCATTACAAAATCTGTTGCAACTTATTCATATTTTTCATAAGTAATATACCATAACTAAAAAATTTATTCATGAAAAAATTCAGATTTTAGTGATTTATGCCTGTTAGAAACTAAAACTTAGTAAGAAACAAATCGTAACTTTTTATATTTCTTTGTGAGAACAATATTTTTTATTAATGTTTGCTGTTAATCTAAAATCATTCATAAGCAGTCAAAATGCTATCTCCTCATTAAGAAAAAATTTTCACACACTAATAACATACATACAATTTAGTTCTCAATGATAATGGTTTTATCTTTATCTGAGTAAAATAGGATAGTTTCAAATTATTAAATCAGCCTTATGTATTGTTTCATGTGTTACAAATGAAAAAAAAAAAAAAAAAGATAGTATATATAAAAGATAGTATATAAAAGATAGTAACTTTGAAAAATATCACACAATTTAAAAATTTTACAGGCAACAAATTTAATAATTTATAATAAAATATAAAAAATTTGGTTTTAATTCTTTGTTGAATTATTGCTAAGCCAATTGTATTTTTATTTTTTTCTAGACATAAGATATTTACTTTTCATATAAATCTTTAAAAACATGATTAATATCATTTAAAATTTGGTGACCTACCAGGGGAAAAAAAATATGTGAATTAACAAGTCCTGGGTTCAAAGGAGCCATGCTTTCCAAAGTCTAACAATCAATCATCAATTTTGGAATAAATGACAAGAGTAATTAAATCACTAGATTAAATCAAATATCTAGAGCTGATTTATAACTTTTAAGAAAAACATCATATATTCAATAAACTTTTACGTTATGCAAAATAATTTTTTACGCAAATATAGAGATATTTTATTAAAATGCTTTAAAGCAGGCTGGAACAAAGATGGCAAAAATTCTGATAAATGTTTTGCATTGGAGAAATCCTATTAAAAACCTTAGATAAATTGGAGATAGAAGCCATTACTAATAAAAAAGAAGTACAACTCAGGCATAAGTTTAAGTAATAAAGATTAAGTAGTTTGGAACAATCCCAACAACAATCACATCGCTAAAATAGGATATAAATAACTAAAGCCATTTTATTACGTTTACGAAGAAACATCGATATGGTATTTATTAGACTTACTTTAATTTTAAAGTTGACAACCCTATATCATTATTAATACAGGTCTTTCAATGTCACATAAGTTTTAAAATTAAATTATAAAATAACTGTTGAGTTTTTTAGTATTATTGAGCATCATTAATCTTACAAATTTACTTACCAATTTACCAAATATACAAATAATCACAAATATTTCAAATAAATATATAGTTCATTATTTTGTAAACAACACGTAAATTACTATATAACATAATCGATATAATATTTAAAACAAGTTAAATATTTTTATGAGAACAGGCAGTACACTGACGCTTTTTATTTTCTTCCTGTCAAATAGTCACAAAGTTGGCTCACAACGTTTACAATATAGGAACGGTAAATTTTTAAAAGTATCCATAAAACATAAGTTAGTCACGGGCAATTCAAATAAATTATTTGTCAATAAATAAAACAGAAATTAATCAACTTCATCTTAATATTATTAATTCCATCACGAACAAACAATAAACATGACCGAATTGGAGCGAACCTTAACGTTGCCATTCGTCGTTAAATAAAAATATAAATTATGCTTTTTACGTCGTGCTGCCCTTACAGCCTCAGTTTTTCTAAAAGTTTGAATCTGGGGTTGGGTTACCACTTGAATCAGTCTGCGAATGGTCCAAGGGTATGCGGTATTGGTCCTGTGTGAACTGTTCTACCAAAAAGTTCCTGACTTCGTGCGCAGGTCGTTGGGCTACTGAAGAGGGAGGGCCATGCTCTCTGCAGAAGATCAAAATTTTAATATCATGTCTTCGGATCCTTCTCAGGGATGTTTCCTTGACCGTCACCAATTTCCCGATGTGCAGCTCTAGTGCGGTTCTGGCAGTTCACGCATCTCTAACAAATTTTCAGATCAAACATTCTCGTTGTTTGCGAGTCGTCAATGCGATTCGCACAAGCAATTCAATGCAGATATTCTGACATGTAGTTTCTAAACATTCACATACGCGTCTTAGGACTGTCACCCACAGTGTCATTGCATCCAAAGTTTTTTCAATTTCCAAGTTTTTAAAATACTGGATACGTTCTCGAAGACTGAGATCTCCATCTCAAGGTTTACTGAGTGCTTCGTAAGGGCCCAATCATCACATACTCTCCAAACAAAAGTATGAGGTGCTTGCTGTCTAATCTCAGAAATTGATTATTGAGAAGGGAAAATATACCCTAACAAGGGCGCCGGCAGCGGGGTGCAAGAGGGTACGCTTGCACCCCCCTAGCTTCTTTTTTTTTTCAAACAATTAGAGCGATGCAGAAAAACAATTTTGTTATAAAAAGATTTCATTAAAAATATTTTTATTCAAAAGCAAATAATCAAATAAATGATACATAACAATTAAAAAATTGTTTAATCAAACAAGAACTGTAATCGTCTTGTCTGCTGTCCAAATCTGTTTATAACTTTTTCAATGAATTCTGAGTCATCCTTGATTCTTTTCTTATGCACACTGAGCAGGCTCAAACTTGGCAGATATCTAAGCTATATTTTTAAATTTGATTTAATAAAATATAAATAATATTATATTTTCTACTAGTTAATTAGTTTAACAAAGGTGTATAGCACAAACTGACTTATCACAACTGTAAAACTTCATCAACACAATAAATACCATAATGTTAAGCTCGAACAAACACGTTAATATACGAAACTACTGTTAATAGTAATGTGTGTTTCAAAGTCAGTAGCTACGCCAGGGCCATCAGTACAGTTTCTCGTGGCCAAAATTTGCAAGTACAAGAAATTCATACTTTTTTTTAAAAAATCTTGTTAACAATGAAGAAATGTATCTTGAAAAAAATTAACAGATGAAAGTATATGTAATAACAAAACAAAATGTGATAACAGAATATTTGTAATTTCTTTGGGGGGGGGGGGGGAGTAGTTTGTTAGAGGGTTGCACCCCGTTTTATATTATTCTGCCGGCGCCCTTGTACCCTAATAAATTATTGAATTTTTGGGCGTATACTCGGACAAAGGGGCACTTAAATCTTAATAGCCTACTATGGTCTTTTATTTATTTATTTTCTTCTTTTTTTTTACAGACAGAGAGACATATATATAAACTTACACAGTGCTTAAAACTCTTCCTAATTCCATTCAGATAAACTTATCATTAAAATTTTCCAGAAGGACTTTATTTATATTTTTCACTAATAAACCAGAATTTAATGTGGTGTTATTATCCGAAACTATTTATGAAAAAAAAAATGAATAAATGTACTTTTTTTTGAATAAACATACCATTTTTTTTCCCCGACGAATTTCGTCCCAATAGTTTGGGCAGGAAAGTAGCTGGCAAACAATTATAAAATCCGTTTATCCAAAGATAATTGCAAGCAAAATGCTAATTTTTAATATTTATTTATACTTCTATTTAATAATTATCGAAAAAAAATTAAATTGTAGGATACACAAATTTTTAAATCGATTTAAATTTCTTTCTGATTGATTTCGGCTCATATTTTGCCTTTTTTTATATTAAATTACATTCTTTAAAATGATGTAAAGTATTGTATACCTTATTATACAAAAAATTTTATAACATTATTAGCTGAAATACTCGTAATAAAAAAATAAAAAAATAGTTAGTAAAAAAATTTTTTCGTGTGGAATTACCTTTGGATAAACGAATTTTATAATTGTGAGCAAAAATGTTTTAATTTGCTTAAAAAATTCGAGAATTGGAGATTAAAAAATTGGAGATATGGTGAAATACGCAAAAAGTGAACTAAACATTAAAGGGATCGAACTTTTGACGCTCTCCTGATGAAACAATTAGGAGCATATTTTATAGAGCTTGGCTGCCCCCATACCAAAAATTCAAATCCTTTAAAAACAACAAAAGTATGATTATTCAAAGAAAATGCGTTTTTGTGTCTAATTTCGTAACTTAAAATATCGACTGAGCTAATCAATTAGCATATTTGAGTCCAAGCTCTAGGGCTATTAAGTCCTAATATGCGGAAAGGCAATTATAAGATTAAAATTTATATATGATCCGTTTTTATTTTGTGCAATGTACAACGATTTTGTTTTTAAATTTACTTTTTAAATTATTTTGCGTAGCATTTCGTTATAAAATATACTAATGATAAATGTTTAGATTCAGAAATGAACTCTAAATTATGAAATTCCATTCACCACCACTAAACCTAAACAGGTATGCAATATAGACCGGTAAGCAATATTGTTCAATGCTATAGGTCAATAGTCTACAATTCGATTTAAATATGTATTCTGTATTTTCGCTTTCTGTATCTTTTTTTTTTCTGTGTCGAAGTATTCTGTAATCTTCACTTTTAGTACATATTAAAGTTTTTGTCAAATAAATAAATTTAAAAAAATATTTTTCTTAAAAAAAAAAACACAAATTTGGTGTCGAAAACTAATATTGATAGTGAATGTAATATAGTAAGAGACGATGAAAATTCTCATTAATGATTTTACTGTATTTTCAAATTATACGAATCCCCAAGAATTTTGTTGCGATAGCTAGATAAAGGATCCAAATTTGCAACTGCTCTTCTGATTAAACTATAGGGGCCAGATTATCTAGAACGCGGCCACCTCCCATGTTTTGATAGTCAAGAATCCAGGTGTGTTTATTCTACAAGAGTTTTTATATTTAATAACTCAACTTAGTTAATAGTTAGAAATAATTAGCATATTTGAAGTGAAACTTGTAAACCCTTTTTAGTGAGTGAAAATACGATCATTAGGGAAAGGTCATTTAGGGTGCCATTTTCTTTTTCTTTCTTGGATTATTGTACATCTGATTCCGCAATGATCACCCTTAATGCATATTTTTAGAATACATATCGAAAATCAATCAAGAAGTATACGCTTCAGGGTTTTCAAGTTAATATTTAAGGGACGGAAAAGCAAAAACGCTACCGAAATCTAACAAATTACTATTGAATATCAAGCCTTGCTTGATATTTTGAGAAAAAGGAGAAACTTTACAAGGTGAGTATTAGAAACATTTTCAAGTTTCGTCAGAGAATCAAACAGGTTTTGATATTTTTAATTCCTATTTCCTCACTTGTGATTCAAGGCATTTCTTTTAAGTTCTTGTTTTTCTCCAACTGTCTATTTGTTGGTGACCACTAATTTCTATCCTTTTTCGGCATCATTTGTGAAAAGAATTCTAAAATTACATAGTTCATCATTGTAAACAAATGAATGCACCTATCTATAATAAAATAAATAAGATTTACTTCCGTTGCCATCACTGCTACTACTGTTTCCTAAAGTTTTCATAGCGCGTGTTTTACTCTCTCAAAACGCAATCACTAATCGTCGCAAATATTAAAAAAAATTTACATTTTTAAATAATTAGTTTCAGGACATCGAATATGAAAATGTTAAATGTTATTGATGCAGACATTGGTCTTTGAGCAATTTTATGTTAAAACAAGTGGACTTTTTTTCAATTTTCCAAATATTATTGGAAATTATTATCAATGATTTATGAAATATTAATAAATTAAATATATTAATAAATTATTATTAAATTGCTTATTATTATTTTTTTTTCTCAGTAGAATTATATATTTTTTATTGCTAAGTTCTTTTTTGTCTTAAAATAAGCATTAGAAGTTTAAAAAAATCGAGGTAGTTTTCGAAAATGTTAATTTTTCATTATCGTCTCTTCCCAACGTTTTCTTAATGGATACGAAGAACTAACCAAGAACTATTGAACTAACCAAGGTTATAATTTAATTATAATCCAGATGGATAATATAGGGTTAATTTTTTGGAGTCATATACTCTTATTCTTAAAGATAAGAAAACTTTTGGCTTTTATTCAAATTTGATTTATTACTAAATTTTAAATATGTTTTGTCTTTTTTGATAAAATCAATCGACATAATGACGAAAGATTATTAAAATCTTATATTTTTCCCTTTTTTTATGAAGATGGCATGGTATTTTACATATTTTAGCTCAAGCTATAAGTCGTTTTTATAATATTTCATAAATATATATTATGTGTGAAAACGGTTAAAACAGAGGTTTCCAACTTAGATGAGGCATGGGGCCGCAATTAAAAACACCAGTCAAATGGCTGGCCGCAGCTGCATCAAAATTTTATATAGGACTCTTTGTTTGAAGGAACATTAAATAGTACTGTCAGTTTTTTAACAAGTTGTACAAAACAAAAGTATTGAAGTACAAATAATGATAAATATTTTCTTGAATCAATATTTTCTTGGATGCATAACCTGAGAAATAATTTTTTTAAACCGTTGTTATGTTAAATTTGACAGAAACGAAGAAATTAGGTTTTTTTTAAGGAAAGAAAGTATTTATATATTTTTTACGAAAATATAGATGTTTTACGAATATTTCATATAGATATTTCATATAGACTTTTTATATAGATTTTTTACGAAAATTGTCTGCAAAAAATTATAACTAATATTGCTTGGTTCGCAGGCCGCAATAAAGGCTTCGCAGGCCGATTGCGGCTCGCGGGCTGCCAGTTGGTAACCACTGGGTTAAAACATAAAA